TTTTTTGTAGAATATAAATAAAATGTTCAAAAACTAACCAAATTTTTAAAAAAATCAAACACTCAAGTAACATTGAAATGCTTTTTGTTTTCCAGAAATAAAGAGCAAATCATCAAAGCAGAAAGGGCATTAGATTATGCACTGTTATATGAGGGGGAACCCAAAGAAACACAGAATTATCTTTTGAAGGGTGGGCCCCTGGTAGTACAGGCTTTCTCTGCTGAGAAAGTGTTCTAGGAACCCATCAGTGTACCAGCTAGCATTGTTGCCAGAGGCTGTGTTCAGCTTCAGTGAATTTTTTCTTTCCTTTGTTGATTATTTCAGCGCGTTTGCCCATTTCATGATTGGTGATTTACAAGCGCACCTGCCCACACTGCACTGAGTGTTCATCATTGTTTTTTATCAAAAACGACATGGCCCCGGTGCCCCACCCTCCCTATTCACCTGATCTCTCCTTGAGGGACTTTACCCCAGATGAAAAAGTCCTCAAAGGGAAATGTTTTGCTGCCTGCCGATGTGGACAAGGTGAAAAAAAAATTGCAGAAGCACTAAAAAGCATTAAAATTGATAAGTTCCAAAACTGTTTTGAGCAGTGGAAAGAGCATCTCAATAGATGTATGGCATCAAATAGAGAGTACTTTGTAGGTGGTTGAAGTTTACATGTAAGAATAAATGGTGCCCAGAAAAAAAGCAAGACGTTTCTTTTGGTCCTGTCCCCAGATATAGCAAACCATTTTTTCCTGTCCCTCTCTCCTCCATTCCTCTTTGCGCCTTCTTTTCTAATGCCCAAAATTCTCAGGGAGGGAAAGAGACGTGCTGTGGACAGGTAATCAAAAGCTCCCATTCATTTTTCTTACCTCAGGCTCTGAGAACAAACATATAATCCTCATGTTGAAGAAAAAAAAATTATCAGCCTCAATAATAAGCACAACATCTTAGCTCAACTGAACGGAAGATGTCGTGGTAATGAACAATCCCATGCATTTGCAGAAGTGTTGTGCTTTATAAAGTGCCCTTTATGTATAATCCTTTTGGTTCCTCTCAAAAATAATTTTGAGGTAGACAAGACAGGCTTATTAATTTTTCTTCTCATCCTCCTCCTCCTTCTTCTTCTTCTCAATAAGGAAACATGCTCAATGGCATTAAGTGATTTGTTCAACATCATTCAGAGTGAGATCTTGGACTCATAATCTGGGTCATTTCTCCTTTTCACTACCTCTACTGCCTCGATAAGCTTTTATCATTGAGCAATTTTATTAAAACAGATCTGAATTACAAAAAATAATTATTTTGTGATTTTCAGGGTAGATATTAAGATCTGTGTTTTTTACTTAGTTGATGAAATATCTTCTATCTATGTGTACCAAGTACTATTGACTAAAGGGAGTTATATAACAAGTAGATAGATCCATAAGGAAAAGGAGTTGGGTATCATTAATACTGAATTGAGTTTCAAAATAATTCAGTATGGATTTTAACAAAACGAAATACATTTTATCCCCTCAATTATTGGCCCAAGAATATTTTGAGTAACCACCATGCTAGAAAAATGTATTGGTACCATGGAAATAACAGGAAACAGCAAACTCTCTGTCTGCGCTTTCATGATATCCCATTTGACAGGTGAGACAGACATACAGCAAAGAGTTCTTAAATGCCTACATGTATGGGGCTATTGGAATCTAGCCTAGTATGAGATCAGGAAAGCATCTTTCAAGGCAAGACAATTAGGGTAAAAAAAAAAATTTTTTTTTAAAGGAAATGCTTATGCAAAAAGGAAGAGAAGGCAGAGATTAAAAGAACAATTTGGAATTTAGTGGGGTATTTGTGGTCACCTAAGGAGAAAGTTTTAAGGTGAGAAGAGCCCATGACTCATAGAACAACAATATTTGTTATGGTTGGTCAGATAAAGTAGAGACAACCTGAGAGGCTTCATGGCTTTACCACATATTTTTCTTAGCACTGAATTCTCTGTTTCTTAAACCAGGGCTCAAAATGGCACTGAGTGCAATGTTTTTTATCTGAAATATTGTACTCTTTTCACCTACATCGTCTCATTTAATCCTTAACATAACCTTAACCAAAAAAAAAAAAAAAAAAACCAAAAAAGCAAAAAAACAACCAAAAAAACCCACTGTGCTTCTTACCACGGCTTAAAGAGATCATTCTTTTGTAAGCATCCAGAATGGCAGATCCAGAAAAAGGACCCAGGTTTTAGGATCAATCCCTTGTCCATTGCACTTTTCATGACACCACACAGTGGCCCTGCTAGCTGAAAAACTCTAGTCATTCACCAAACATGTGTTAAGATCCTACTGAGCATCACTGAACAAGATTGATAAGATCCCTGTTTTCATGGAATCTATATTCTAATAAACAGACTCATATAGTAAGTAGGGATTTTCTTTATTAAGACTTCCCATTTACTTCAGGAAAAATAAAATGTTTCATGTTCCAAAAAATGAAATGAAATACTGAGATTTGAACTCCATTTCTCTGGTGTCTCCTGTGTCCACTTTCACAGTTATTCACATGGTCTGGTGTTCTCTCTCCCTTATGACCTTGGGCACCCTGAGCAAAGGCATGTCAATATTTTATGCAGAATTGGTTGGTTAGGATTGTTCTCTTTTCATATGTTCACCTAAAGGTTTTACAATATGCTATCATGTTTCGGGGTATGGATACAGGTGATTCCAAAGACAGTCACTGTTTACATACAAAGTTTTGAAACATTATGTTAGACTAAAGTCATTTGAGACACAGAGAGAGATTTTTAAAAGCAGGTGTTTGCAAAACCTCTCTGCTGTGAGGAAGAGCTTTCCTGGGGTAAAGAGCTTGGTGGAATAAATTCAGTTATTTTTCTGATTTCTAGTCTATGTTTTGTATTAAAAGGGGTTTTAGTGACCTGAAAGACACCTGTTTCTTATCCTGCAGGTAGGCAAGAAAGGGAATAGTTGGCAAGCATCCTCTCAGTTAAATCCCATAAATAATCTGGTCCATTTCTTCTGTGCCAGTTTCTAAAAGTAAGTGGAGACTGGGAACAAAAATGTAAAAAAATAAAAACTTTAAAGACTTTAAAGGTAGCAGGTTGGACTAATGCAAAATGGAAAAACAAATCCTGAAACTACTAGAAAGGAAAGTCAACCATTCGACAGTGCCCTTTCTGCCACTATGGATGCGTGACAACCTCTACACCTGGAAAGATTCATCCTTTTCAGGAAGGTCGGCGGAAGAGGAGGAAGGCAGCTCTAGAATTCTGAAGGACATGAGGTTGCAATTGTCAGACATTAAATGGAATAGATTTCACAGGAAGGAGCAGAGAATGAAAGACTATAAAGTAGAAAGGGACAGATGAAGAAACAGGAAGCAGTGTGGGAAAGAGGCAAGAAGCCTGTTATTAAGGGGACTGCAAAAACAGTGGTCTGTTATCTAGGAAGCAGGTGGATTAGGCAGGTACAGTCAGGCAGCCTCAAAGGTGGATTTTAAACAAGGGGCACAGCTCTCTGCCCCTTCAAGATAGGGTAGCCTTCCAGCAAGGGGACCATGGGAGCAATGGGAATCCAAAAAAAAAAAAAAAAAATCTGAGAAACAAAGTACTTTCAAATCACTTTGAGAGCATGTGGGCAGAGTACTTATAGAAAGCATAGATCCCTGGAATCCAGTTCAAATATTCAGAATCTCTGGGGTCACACCTGATATTTTTTGACAAATGCCTTAGGAGAGTCTTATGCACAATTAAGTTTTATAGCCAATGGCTGTGATTATCAAATGTGTTCTTCATCTTCTTTTGTTCTCAGACAGCCCAAGGCTGGCTCTTGATCACAGCCTCTAGAACAGAGCTGTCTGGCCTCATAACACACCCCTAGTTACAGAGATCTTGGATTCCTTTGTAATGGGGAATCACCCAGGATCTCTCCATATAACATCCCTGAAGGTCAGGCCACAATCTCTGACCTTATATGAAGTTCCTGACAGAGGATCTGAAGTTTCAAAGGGTACCATGTCAGTTTTTAGTGGTAAGGAGGGTGCAGGTGAGCTGTGTAAGGCTGAGACACCAAACACATCTTCAGACCAGCTTTCAGACCTCAGGATGGAACCACAAAGGAGAAAGAAAAGAGGGAGAAAGACCTTCAAACTCCTATCAGTTCCACAACGTTCATCAAGCCCTAATGTGAGATCAGTAGGGTAGGTCTCAAAGGCAAAATACTGCCCTCTCCTTCATGGAATTATTATTCAAATATTAGGCCTCAAAATACGTTTGTGAGGTGAATTTCTGCGAAGCAAAAATGTTCCAATTAATTATAAACTTGTGCATGTGTTCATTAAAGGTGTATTTTCCAGCAGATAAAGCAGTGTAAGCAAAACTATGTTCAAAATCAGGAGTTCAGACAGAAACTCCCAGTTGCGTATACCAGCCTGCAGAACAAAAGCTGTACTGGAACCACAGCTTTTTCCCAGTAACCGTTGATTCTCCTACCCCTTCCCTCCTCTCTGATGACTGTGGATGAGTTCAGGTTCAGTGGTGATGTCTCCCTTCAGAGGCCACTAACGTTAGAAAGCCATGCCCTGTGTCAGGCACTTCTGCACGCAGCCACGATTCAACAAGCCCTTGCATCTATGTTTGCAGCATAAACATCTGTTGCACTCACAGGAGGGCTAAGAACTCCTGCAGTCCGATAAACACTCCTCCATCCTTACTAATATCCCCTTGGATACATTTTCGTGATAATGATCAACTGAAGGCTGAGTAAATGTATCCCCTTGGATACATTTTCGTGCTAATGATCAACTGAAGGCTGAGTAACTCAAAACAAGCAAACAGAAGCCACTGCCAAGGTCTCTTTCCACGATGCCCCTTTGACGCATTACATCCCGACAGAATAAGGAGAGGCCTCCCCAGTCCGGGTCCCCTCAGCACCCACCAGTGGGGAAGCGGCGTTGGAGACCGCCCCCCTCCCGGCACCTCTCTGAGTCACCTCTCCTCTCCCCTCTCTCCGCAGCTCTAACGGAAAATCCGTCACGTGGGCCCAGAATGAGAAGAGCACCCGGGGGCAGCACCTGTGGCAGCGGCTGTCCGTCCACATCAACAAGAAAGAGAACCCCAACCAAACGGCGGTCATCAAGCCCTTCCCCAAGAGCGCCGAGAGCCGAG